CCTCAGGCTGGGCCAAGGCAGCTGAGCTGTGAGGCTGCCAACAGGGACCCAGCACCTGTGCAGGAAGAGCAGAGCAGTCCCGAGATGGGGACTCGGGGCTATTCCCTTTGTTATGCCAGGAAGGAGACATGACCAGGAGGGGCCGTTTTCTTCAGGCGAGGTGGTCCCCAAGCTGCTGGCAGCTGAGTGGCCTCTTGGTGACTCTGCCAGCATGTGGGGGACTGTCAACGTCTACGCAGGCTGCTCTGGTGAAGTCCCACCAGCTGCATGGCTTAGGAACAGACGTGTGTGGCTCATGCTCTGGGCCTGGGAAGGGCAAAGGCAAGGCCCTGGCTGGTTCCTGCTCACAGGTGGCACCATCTCCTCTTCTCATGTCCACACAAGTAGCAGGACAGCTCTCAAGTCCCCTTTGCCAGGGCACCTACCCACTCATGGGGTGTTCTTTCAAGTTCTCTTTTTCCATATATTATTATTTTTCCAAATATTTAACAATATTAATAAGCATTTACTGAAGGGGGTTGGGGAGGAGGAGGGAAGGGGAGGGAGGGGGATAAAGAGAGAGGGAGAGGGAGAGGGAGAGAAGAGAGAGAGAGGGAGGGAGGGAAGGGAGAGGGAGAGGGGGAGGGAAGGAGGGGAGGGGGAGGGAGAGGGGGAGGGAGAGGGAGAGGACACACTCTTACACTCTTGGTCCCGGGAGCGGCAGGTGCTGGTCCTCCAGCCTTCTCACCCAGTGGTCAGGGCTGGAACCTGCTTGTGTCGTGAGGAAGGGTCTAGTGGGGTTTTCCTGGTAGAGTCTCCTTCACCCAAGGTGCCAGAAAATTCTGAAGCCCCACAGCTTCGTCCTGGTGCTTCCTGGTGGCCCAGGAGTCCCATCTCTTTGGCTTCGCGATGACTCCAGAGATGAGCTGCCCGTGCAGCTTCTCCCCAGACAGGCTCAGGGCAGGGGCAGGGAAGCCAGGCTCAGTGCAGGCGGAGCACCGGGTGTCCTGCTGCTGTCCTCGGGCTGCAGCCTGAGGCTGCGTGGGAAGAGAGGCTCCGAGTTGGGAAGGACTCCCTGGAGGACTCGGTGCTCCCAGTGACCCCCTTCCTCGGGTCCCTGAGCCTGAGCTCACCTTTGGCAGAATTTTGGAAGGGCCCACACATCTCTGTGCTCTTTGTCAAACTATTCATTCTGAGAAACTGAATTCAAGATGAAAAATTCAGCAGATACACAGGGCTCTTCAGCAACACCCAGCCCCTCTCTCCCACCCAGTTTCTCTATAACCCCCTAAAGAGCCTTGAGTGTCACCTGAACAGATGTGGCCTTTGTCCCTGAGAAGTAGAGTACAGGGCATGGGTGGGGGGCACACAGCGCAGTGGAGTGCCACCAGCAGGTACTGGAGGAGGGACGCGGGGCCGGATGAGAGTGGCCAGGGGCAGGAGGCTGAGTGTGGCCAGGCATCAGGCTCCTCTGTGATCTGCCCGGGGATGAGGGGTGGAGGCCCTGGCCAGGGGCTGCGGGTGGGGATGACCTGGCACTGGAGGGGAGAAGCCCGGCCGCAGGCTGTCACACGTGAAGCCCACTCTTCCCAGCTACCCAGCAGCACGACATGCGTCCTATCTCGCCTGGCCCTTTGCATCCTACAGCACTGAGAACACCTGTGGGGGGCGCTTTCCAGACCTTCCTTCAGGCTCTCTGACCCCAGAGCTGCTGGGAGCCAACAGGCCCGCTGGTTCCTCGGGGAAGACCTGGGTGCAAATGGCCAAGGGAATCCACGGTGTAAGCACAGGGAGGCAAGCTCAGAAGTAGCTGAGGAGGAGACGTCCTTGTAAATGAGGTTATTCAGCGAAGAACAGGGAGGACATCATCCTTTTTTGCACTCATCACAATTATGGCTAAATAATCACACGTGTAATTGTATAGTTAATATCTGCCTTCTTTTCTGGGCTGCAAATTCCCTGGAACAGGAGGCCAGGTTTGTCTTGTCCAACATTTCATCCCTGACTCGGCCCACTGCCAACATGGAAGACAAATTAAAAATAATAGCAAGTTGTGTTCAATGAAAGGGAAGGTCCGTGCTGGATGATGAGAGAACTTCACGGCCGCTGGAAGTGTCAGGAAGACGTGCTGGAGGGGCCAGCCCTCTCAGTTAGCCTTAAACACACACAGCGAGGCGTGCACATGGGCTTCCTTGGGGGGCGGGCTAGTGCATGAGGGTATGGCTGAGAGCGTGGGGGTCCAGCAGGGGCACAGGGTGCAGGTGAGTGCCAACAGCAGGTACCAGGAGGTTGTGTCCAAAGTCACCCTAAGAGAAGCCAGGAACTCCCAGCCGCCCCGCGATGGGTCTGAACTGCCTGGGAACATGACTCTGGGGCCCTGGGGACAGAGGCCAATTTATGTCCAAGAGGATGTAGCCAAGAGCAGCAGGTCTAGAAGTGCCGGAGATGTCACCAGAGAGGCTGCAGCTGCTCCGGAGACGGGCTGGGTGAGCCCGCGACCTAATGTGAGATCTGGTTCTGCAAATTTGGGTTTCTTGTTCACATTCTGGTCCAACTTGGGAAGAAAGGATGGTGGTGAGTTTTGGGGGAAATGGTGTGAGGAACGGGGGCCCAGACACACTAAGGGCAGGTGGGGACAAGCCCAACCAGCAGGGTGCTCCACATGGGGTCATGGGGTCCAGCAGTACAGCCGCCTCCTGCTGGCTGTCCTCAGGGGGAAGAGCCATCCCAAGGAGTGCAGGGCTCTGGGGGAAGGTGCGGGTGTTGTGGGCGTCCCCGGGGGGGGGGGGGGCAGGGAGAGTCTGAGGTCAGGTGTGGAGGACTGAGCAGGGCAGCACCCAGCAGGTCAGGACGCACAAGAAGGGGGAGGTGGAGCCCACGCTGCTGGAAGGGCTTGTCCTCAGAGCTGCGTGTTCACAGGCCAAGCCAGAGATCTGTGGGGCTTGAGCCCTTTGCAGCCTGTGCCCCAGGACCCTTGGGCTGTTGCCCACAGTGGCCCAGTTTCTGCCAGGGGCACCCTTCAGGACTGCCCCCATCCCTGGAGCTGTGTTCTTGCTTAGGGGGTGTCCCCTCGTGTTCTGGTGATCAGGGGTGGGAAGGGACCACCCTGCTGGGGGAAGTTACTAAAGGCCGCTTCCCCCTGGACCATTTGCTTGCATTTCCGGGGAGCGCAGAGGACATCCCTGGAAAAGCAGGACGTGCCTTCCTGCGTGGCAGGCCCTGTGGCTGTGCACACCGGCTAGAGACAGCTCAGCCACACCAGTGAGCTCCAGTAAGAGCAAGTCGCCAATGAGCACAGAGAGAGGGAAGGGCACTTTACCCCTGACCCCCCAACCCAGGCTGCAGTACAGGTGTCCCCCCTGGGCTTGGGTCATGTTCTGTGATGTGCAGACAGACAGACAGCCCACTGTGAGCCCCTGAGGCCCTCCATGCCCTGCAGAAAAGCAGCCCTGGTCAACGGCTTTCAGGCACCAAGCTTTGCAGGGCCTTGGCTACAGGACCCCAGTGTGGCTTAGCAATGATAGGGCCCACCCGTCTCCACATCCCTGACCAGCGCCCTGGGCACTAGGTGAGGTCAGGAGAGCCGTGTGGCTCTCACCTGGTGGCTGGAGTGAAACTGCCCTGGGACTGTGGCTGGAGAGACCCAGCAGGAGCCACCTCCGTTCCCAGGCCATGCTCTGAAGTGGGGACTCAGAGTGAATGGCAGGCACATGTAGACTCACAGAAGAGGCCATGGGTTCCTCGGGGACTGGGCCCTGGGCTCGTCCTGCTCCAGGAACAGAACCCCTGTGCCTTGTCATTCTTCATGGGTCCATTTGCTCATCAGACCCTCAGCACAGGCCGAGGGCCAGTACTAGAGTCCCAGGTACATGTGGGCAGCCACCATGGTTCCCCTAGAAGAAGGTCCCATTGGAGCAGTGGCCTTGGGTGTCACAGATGCTCTTCCTCCAGTCACAAGCACCTCCGATGCTGCCTGCTGCTCCATTTCCTCATGTCCGCCCTGTCTCAGCTGCCAGCAGAGTGCTGAGATGTGGCCCAGCAACGCCTCGCCCTCTGACGGCGGTGGAGGGGGTGACACTCAGTCCTGACTGGAGACACCCTGGCACCTGCTCCTGCGTGTCATCCTCGCTTGGGCACCAGTAGGGGAGCTCTGGCCAGCCCTTGCAGGTGGCTGTCACCTCAGTGGGATCAGGGCTCTCCTTTGTGAATTTGTGTGTTGGGAGATTTGCTTTTTGAAGGTGGTGGACACTCGGGACAGCCTTAGTAAAGGGATAACTCTTTTTGGTCTTCACTGTGGCATGATTCTAGGCAGGGGGAACACAAATTTGGGAGAGGCCTCCCCAAATCTTCAGGCTTTGGCTGCCACCCCAGCTCCCAAACCCCTGGGTCTCCTCCCTGGTGAGATTTCTCACATCTAACAAGGGCAAGAGAGTCACCCCCATGAGTCTTGAGCTGCTTGCCCGGCAAGGCCTCTGACCACCCCTAATCTCACCTTGCGCTGAGATCCTGAGGAAGGTGGGAAGCCACAGCCCCCCGGCTGGCCCTCCTGGTGCCCACACTGGCCAGTCGTCTGCCCAGCACTCAACACGGTGTGGAAGACGAGGCTTCCCATTAGACATTCTGCCCTTTTGCCATGATTTAGGCCTAGAACCCTTAGCAGAACAGCAGATAAGACACGGTCTGCAGGGGCGAAGGGACAAGTGGCATGGTGATGTCTCTGTCATCAGCCAGCTGGTCCTGGGTGCTGCGCTGGGCCTGCTCTCGCCTCAGGCTCCTCCTTCCACCACCGCTCCTCTTGCTCCCCCTTGCCTCTCCTACAGCCTCAGCCCAGCCTTCTCGAGGACGGCCTTCCCCACCCCTTGGCAGGTGCTGGACAGAGAAGGGAGGTCCCTGCACCTGGCAGGCCAGCTGCCAAGGCCTGGACACCTGGATGTTCATGTCTGGATGCCCCACGGCCACTCTAAACTCATTTCCACGGTGAGGGAAAGGCGGGTACAGCAACAATGCACTTGTAATTACAGGAGGAATGTAGGCTTTCCTACAAAGAACAGCATATCTCACTGCAAAAAGAAAAACACAGAGAATAGAGGACAATTGGTGGAATTTACAACAACGCCCCCATTCGAGGTGAGAACTGCTGATGCTGGGCGTTTCCCTTCCCTCCCTTCCTGTGTGCAGGATGTGATTCTGGAATTTTTTGCAGGTCATCAGAAGGATTGTCACACGTCGCTGTCACACTCACCAGAGCCACTGTCCCAGGATGTGTGTGTGTTACTGAGCCACTCTCCAGGGCCACGCACTCATGCTGTCCTGGCTTTCCCAGGAGAGATCTTGTCTTGTGTGTCTCGTGTCTTGTCTGTCTGTCTGCCCTGGCATGCTGGCAGGGCGAGGCCTGGAAACAGGAGGTGTGCACCTGGGGTCCAGGGCCTCAGCGGGAGTCCCAGCTCCCCACCACGGGCGTGTGGCTTATGAAGTCACCAATGCCACTTTCCAGCTCAGCAAGGTGCAGATGTCTGTGGTGAGGCCCTATCAGGTGGGAGGCCTCCCCTGGGCCGGGACAGTGAGGAGCTCGGCCACCAGACCACATGCCCAGCACATTGGCTGGTGTCAGGCTGTTGTGGCAATAGAGTCCTTGTCCATGTGACTACTGGCTTCCGGGCGAGGCCTAGAGCCAAAGGACGGACCCCAGCCCCAGTGCTCCTGGGGGCTCCCAACAGAGTTCTCTTTACTTTCCAAGGACTGTGCCAGGCTGCCCCACCCAGCGAGCCCAGCCCACCCTCCCTGCTGTGGGCCAGAGTGGTAGGCAGAGCCTTTCCAGTGTGCTCCCACCCCTCCCTGCTCTGCTCGGGCCTCTCGCCTCTTGCTCTCCTACCCTACCCCCGTGTGGGTGGGGATCAAGTTGAAGGCAAGCCTGTCTCTCCCAGAAGGGGGTCACTCTGTGTCTAAGGGGGTGTTCTGCTGGCAGGACACTGGACAGGCCCTGGCCTGGGGGGCTTGTGTGTCTGGGAACTTCTTATTCGTAGATAGGCGTTGGCTGTGCAGGGGCCTGTGGGGTCTGCCCGTCCCGGAGCAGGTCTCACCATCCTCTCACCTGCGCGACAGCAGGTGCCTCCCTGTTCCCTGTGACAAAGGCTCTGCCCTGCTCGCTGGGTGGAGACAGGGTTTCTTGAGTGTTCTCTTTCAAGGCTCATGGTGGAAAGACCCTGTGCTCTGGGCTCGTAAGCAACGAGGATGAAATGCCACTCCCTCCCTCTGCCCCAGGAGCGCCTCGCCCAGCATCCATTGCCCGTGTTTCCTCGCCCGGCTGCTCTCCTCACCCGTGTTCGGGCTGCTTCTATATCAGCACCCACTGGAGGATAAGTCAGCAGATTAGGGTTAATTTGGGATATGGCACTTTTTAGTTTTGGTATTCTTAGACTGTATTTTAGAACTACACAGGGCTGGGTTCTTATTGAATATTATCTTGTCATTATTGTCTGTTTTTCTCCCAGTCATTAGAATGATTTTACGGTTAAAGAAAAATCATGTGGATTCTGCCTGCACTTGGTGTTGGTGGCTTTGACTTGAGGAAGCACCTGGCAGTTATAAGAGGCTGGGAGCCACACAGCCTGGGCTGGAATCCCAAGTCTGCTACCTGAGGGAGGTGAGCTGGGCACCTGGGGTGTGAACTGGGCACTGAAGTGTGAGTGAAGTACCTGGGGTATAGGCTGGGAACCTGGGTGTGAACTGGGCATCCTGGGGTGTGAGCTGGACATCCTGGAGTGTGAGCTGGGCATCCTGGAGTGTGAGTTGGACATCCTGGGGTGTGAGCTGGGCACCTGGGGTGTGAGCTGGGCATCTGGGTGTGAGCTGGGCACCTGGGGTGTGAGCTGGGCATCCTGGAGTGTGAGCTGGGCACCTGGGGTGTGAGCTGGGCATCCTGGAGTGTGAGCTGGGCATCTGGGTGTGAACTGCATACCTTCACATTTGCACAGGGATGGCATGGCTGCATGGCTGCATGCTTCATGTCTTGTTACAAACACTGTGTATTTCTGTCTTTTCTGAGAAATCTGCCACCACCACCACCAGATGGCAAAGATGTTTTTCTAGGTTTCCTTATGGAAATTATTTTACCTCCTGTTTTTTAGGTCTATGAAACATGTCAGGATACTTTTGGTGTATCTCACTCTCTTCCATGTTGTCATCCAACGCCACCTGAGGGACTTAGGTCCCTTTTTCCAGTGAGTAGCAGTGGCCCCTTTGTCAAAAACCAGGGGAGGGCAGGCACCTGGGTGCCTCTCTGGGCTCTGGGCTCTGGTCTGTGTCCATCCTTATGTGGGATCCCACACTGTCCTGGTTACCATCCATCATGGGTGGTCCTGAGGATGCAGTGTCCTTGTGGTGGCCTGGGCGGCTGCATGGCCCGGCAGGGAACAGACCCTCCCCTGCCTGCACAGTGGCGTGGCCCGCGGCCTTCCCTGGGCTGCTCCCTGCCGTCCTCTGCACTTTCTCTGTGTGTTCCTGTGTCAGCCGGGGGTTTGTGTGCCTCAGTCTCAGGACAGGTTCACTACTGGGACACTGTGTTAGTCGCACCCTCATTGTCACTTCAGCCTCTGTCCAGCCTGAGATTTTACCCCATTGCTTGTCGGCTGTGGCCAGTCTGTTTTGTCCCCTTGGGCAGGTTTTCAATTTAACACAACTTTTCACAGAGCCAACTTCCCTTCATTTTTCCATGTTTGATTCCATTGATCTCCACTCTCATCCTTGTTTTCCCTCTCTCCACACATAGCTCTTCGTTCCTGCCAACCTCAGGTAGAAAGTCGTGTCATTGAATTTTAATCTTTCCTTGTTTTCTGATACTGACATTTAAAGCTCTGAGCTTTCTTTTAAGCACTCCCTTAGCTGCCTCCTCAAATTTTTAATTTTCATTTCATTCAAAATTTTTCTTCTCAACTGATTTGTAATTTCTTCTTTTGTTTGTGAATGATTTTTGTTTAGTGGCGACGTCTGGATGTAAAGATGCTTCAATGCTGCAGACGTCCAGCCTGGTTCTGCTGAGGTCAGTGTTTTCTCTATGATTTCAACCTTTTGAAGTTGATAAAGACTTTTTTTTTTTGGTACCAGGGATTGAACCAGGGGTACTCAACCACTGAGTCACATCTCCAGCCCTTTTAATATTTTATATTTAGGGACAAGGTCTTGCTGAGTTGTTTACGACCTCATTAAATTGCTGAGGTTGGCTTTGACCTTGAGATCCTCCTGCCTCAACCTCCCAAGCTGCTGGGATTACAGGTGTGCGCCACCACACCTGGCACTAAAGATGTGTTTTACTCTGAGGTCCTTCCACCTGCGTTACACATGGGGAAAACGTGTTCTGTACTCACTGGGGTAGGCCTATATAAAAAGGATGTGTTTTAGTACCGATGTCAGATCCTCTATATATCATTTTTAGGTGGAAGCCTCCAGTTTTGATTGTGAATTCATTTCTCCTAGCTGTTCTCTCAGGTTTGGACAAGGGCATTTTGAGGTGTTGTTATAACTGTTTCTCCTGGTCTGTCAGCTCTGTCACCTTGTGCAACACCTCTGTGTCACTGGTAACACCACGTCCACCAGTACCTCCACAGTGACTGCAGCTTGTTGGGCTTCCTGGTTACGTGCTATGTCTCTCCCGTGCTGTCCCTCTCCTGTGCTTTCACTCCCAATCTCTTTGAGTCTTTGCATTTAAAGCTCAACTTTTATAAATACCAATTAGTTGGTTCCTGCTCCCCTCCCTCCAGAAAGCCAAGGTGTGCCTTTTGGTTGAAATGTTTAGTTCATTTACGTTCAGTACAGTGATGGACAGTTTATTTGGTGTGCCACCATGCCATTTTTCTGTCTCCTCTGTTTATCTCTCCTTTAAAAAAAATTGGCCGTATTTTGTGCGAATGAAGAACTTTTGAATTTCCATTTGAATCGTCTGCTGCTTCCCGAGCTGTATCTTGTTGCGTTGGTGGTAGGGGCAAGCTCTCAGATCAGAACATACATCTTTAACCGGCCGTGGTCCACCTGGAGTTGGCTCTGGACCACTGAGGTCAAATGTAGAAACCTGGCAAGACCCACCTGCGTTCCCCGCTTCGTCGCTATGTCATGTAGGGTCCACCTGTGTATGTGATGACCCGTCCAGGGTGGTGATTCCTGCTCAGTCCTGTGTCCTTTAGAGAAGATAAGAAAGAAGAAAAACAGCTATGTTCCCCCACTGCACTACCACCGTCTCTGGGCCCTGTGTTCCTCCCTCCAGCAGGTCCTCACGTGAACCCGGGGACGGGGCTCTCAGCAATCTGAAGGGGTCTGAAGGGGTCCTCGTGTCACCTGCACTTGAGAATCACAGTTTTGCTAACAACACACAATGCTCTTCTACCAGCCTGTGACAAAACAGCACCTTGGGTTTCTAGTGAGATCGGCTGTCACCATGTCATTGTCTCCTTGTGTGTGACAAGCATTTCCTCTCTCAGCATCACTGTTCTCCTGGTGCCACCTGAAGAGGCTTGTGCTTAGCTTCTTGGGGTGCACTGACATTTTGGGGTCTGTAGGTTAATATTCTCCACCGACTTTGGGACACTCCTGCCAATGTTTCTTCACATGGTGTTTTTCCTGCCCATTTCCTCCCTTTGCAAAGGGACTGTGGTGCTGTGTGTTAAGGACTGCTTGGCACCGTCTCTGAGGCACTCTTTTTCCTAGCATTCTTCAGGTTCATCAGGTTCATGAATTTCTTTTAATCTACTAGCAAGTTAACTACTTCTTTTTTTTTTTTTTTTTTTGGAAACATCACCAACCAAGGTGCTGTTGAATCCTTATGGTGAATTTTAAAAAATTTAGTTATCATAGTTTTCTGTTCCAGAATTTCCATTTTTATAGTTTTGATTTCTCAGTTGAGATTTCCTATGCCTTCAGTTATTCAGGCCATTTATCCTTTTATTCTTTAATTTTATGTACAAGACTTGCTTTGAAATCCTTGTTTATTAAATCCAACATCTAGGTCACTTTTACTGACTTCTTTTTTTTTCTGTGTGTTCGGCATACTTCCCTGATTATTTGCATGTATAAAACTTGGGTTTTAAATTGGATGTTACAGATGCCTTCGTGTGGAGATCTGGAGTTGGCTGTGTCCTCAGCATTTATTTTTGTTCTAACTCACAGTAAACTTGCTCAGCCTCAAATTACGAGGCTGGCTTTTTAATGTTCTGCAGCTGCTGAGAGCTCTGCTGTTTGGGGTATTCCCGCTGCTGTTGGGTAGTCTACTTTTGTAAATTACGCTTGCTAATATTTATATTTCATTGCAAACCAACCTGTCATAGCTCTTTATATATTTGGTACTTAACCTGTGACTGAATAATTTATCAATCCATCAAAGATCCAGGCTGAGATTATGTTCAGATTAGTGGCTCAGCTTCTTTGGGGTTTTCTATTTCCCGGGATTTTTCCCATCTTCCTGCAGCTCTGGCAATCTGGGGCTCTGTCTCTGGCCGTTCAGGCTCTTGAGGCCTTAACTTCCTGCTGTCTGAGTTTGTCTGGGGAGTGTGCTCCCTAAGCAGAGGAGAACAGCCAGGCCTCACCTGTGCAGTGCTACTTTCCAAACAGAACACCACACACCAGTGCACAGCTTAACTTGCAAGCAGCCATCCGGGTGTAGTTCATGCTCCGTGTTCTTGACCCGCTTCTTCTGCAGGACCCTGGCTCCCAGGATGTTCCCTGACAGTCCTGACGTCCGGCCCCCGGCACCATCAGGGAGAAAGGCCCTGGCCAGGTCTGCTGCTGTGAATGGTGCAGGAGGCTCACCAGGACCAGATGCCACAGGTAACATTCTCACACGGTTTGGCTGCAGTCAAAAAAATAGTATGGATTCTCCCCTGGTGTTTGTCCATCGTGAGCAGATTTCTAAGTGTCTTTGAGTAGCTCCTTTTAAGGTGTTATGTAGGTTTTATCATTTTAATCATAAAGAGAGGCAAAATTACCCCAAATTGAAGTGTTTTATTAGCACTTTATTTTGTTGTGATGTTTGCCTTCTTAAAAAAATTTATTTAAAGTAAAGTTCTCATTTTTTTTTCTTTTCATTTCATGATTTACTGCATTTGGTCACACTTTTGAAAGAATCTATGTAATTGTGAGAGTGACTATATAGTTTTTCCTTATTTCACAGGAAGTTTTCTTACTTTGGACTCTGTATATCACAGAACTATTTTAACACTCCAGGTTTTCTTGTAAATCGGAAATGGGTGAACAAGTGCATCAACTGAGTTATTAGTTTTTGCTTTCTTTTTTAAGTGGCTGTTATTTGTCTTTTATTTATTTATTTTTTTCATGTCACTTGCTTTATTGTGATATTCATATTATTGTGGAGATCTGGAGCCAAAACTACACTATCTCCAAACTATGCATATATCATTAATAGCAGTCAACAAAGCTGTCCTAGTCGCACATAGAGACCTGAAAGAGTTGGTAGAGTGATAAATATTTGCACACACTAGAAACCACATAGTTATTCATTAAAAATCATAATTTAAAATTATGATTACAGTTTGGGATGTAACCAGGGAATTGACCTAGAATGAGAGGATTAGATAGCCTTCCCTGAGGAAGGTAGAATTTCCCCCCACACACATTTTTTTATTGGTGTATTATATTTGTACATAGTGTTAGGATTTGTTGTTGTATATAAGTACATTCACATGATGTAACAATATAATTTCACCAATATCTCTCCCATCCTCTCCTCCCTCCCCTCTCCTTTTCTTATTCTACTGATCTCCCTTTGCTTTTCTTTTTTTGTTTTTGTTTATTTATTTATTTTTATTATTAGTTGTCAAAACATTACAAAGCTCTTGACATATCATATTTTATACATTTGATTCAAGCAGATTATGAACTCCCATTTTTGCCCCGTATACATATTGCAGATTCACATCGGTTTCACATCCACTTTTTTACATACTGCCATACTAGTGTATGTTGTATTCTGCTGCCCTTCCTATCCTCTACTATCCCCCCTCCCTTCCCTTCCCCTCCCCTCCCCTCCCCTCCCCTCCCCTCCCCTCCCCTCCCCTCCCCTCCCATCTTCTCTCTCTACCCCATCTACTGTAATTCATTTCTCTCTCTTGTTTTTTTCCCCTTTCCCCTCACTTCCTCTTATATGTAATTTTGTAAAGGAAGGGTCTCCTTCCTATTTCCTCCCTATTCTGTTCTTTTATTATTGTCTTCATTAGCAGATGAGAAACGAAACCCACCTGCCTTATTAAAAGCCTGAAGCCCTCTGCATGGCAACTGGGTCTCTATGCTCCTGCTGCAGTGGGCAGTTCTCTGGCGGCCTTGAGACTGAAGCTGTCCTGAGCCTTGCGCCCCCTCCCTGTGCCTTGGCTTCGCATGCCTTTCTCTTCCATCCTGGCCTCTAAGTGGATTTGGTGAACTCTGTGCTGGGGAACGGAGCCCAGGTCCTCCGTGGCTTCAGTGTTCCCTGCCATCTTCACTTCCTGTTCCTGGTGCTCACAGGTGCGGGGCTCTGGGCTTTCTCCTGGTCCAGTGGTGCGCTTGCCTTTGGTCTGGTACTCTGCACAGCACTCTCCTCCCTCTGCACGCTGTGGGTGGGAGTGCTTCCTGCAAGGTAGTCTGGCCAGCTCTTATCTCAGCCTTTAGTCCACCAATGATGGGTGTTGCTATAGGCTGAGAAGGGGGCTCGGCCTCATCCCCCTGGCTTCCCACCATTAAAACACTAAGTCGTCTTTCCCTGCTTACGTGAAACCCCAGTGTCGCAGTGTAAGTAGTGGCAAGTACTTGATTTGTTTCTTAACCTTTTCCATTCCAGTGCTCTGTGCCCCTTTCCCTGCTCCACTTGTGTGCATATGAGACACTTGTGCCGTCTTTGTGACTGACCCCGTTGACAGGTCATTTCTATTTTATGGGTGACTTTATTACTATTTATTTTTTCTGTAATATTCTTACACATTATTTTTAAAATAATTTTCAAAAATTTTTGTCAAGTTGAACCATCTACTTGTGATTTCTATTGAAATGGTGCAGAATCGTAGAGGTAACAAGCAAGGGAAGTGTGACATGGTCCAGAGCGAGATGTCCCATCTGGAAACACAAGAAGCCTTCTTTTTCCAATCATTTTCATGATTTTCATAATATGCAGTTACTTTTAGGCAGATTTTGCCCAGTTCAGAACATTTTAGTTCCTAGGAATCTTGTGTAAGTGCAAATGGACTCTTTGGGGCTCTTACATTTTATTTGGATGATATTGGCCTAGAGTAAAGTCACTAGGTTTACAATCATTAAAATTAGGAACATTAAATCAATTGCTTCTAATACATTTTATTTATTCTCCAAGGTAAAAATCACATCACCCACAAAAAAATCACAACAAAGCCAAGTGTGGTAGCACGTGCCATAATTCCAGGGACTCAGGAGGCTAAAGCATGAGGATCATGTAGTCCAGGAGTTCAAGGTCAAACTGGGGAACAGAATGAGACCACAACTCAAGAATCATTATGGTAGAAATTCTTTATATTTAAAAGGTTTGCATTGACTTCAGAAATAGTGAAAATGAGCCCCTCTGCTTTAATAGTGTGATTTATAATAAGTGTATATTTTGGTCTTTGTCTCTCCTCCTGCCACAGAAATGCTAAACTAAAGCCCCAGAGATTTCCTAAGCCAAAGGGGAACTGGCATCTTTAGTCCTGATATTTGGTCTTTGACTCTGATGTGTGACACAGAGCTCCCAAGCCCCTTGGAGCTTCCAAGGTTGCAGGAACATCTTTTGGTCGCATAAGGTGACCCCTCGGAAGCTCCTGGGTAGGGCCTGATCACCGGGAGACCAAGCCAGGATTAGAAAATAGGAAATCCCGGCTCCACTCCATCCTTTGGGCAGGGCTGAGGTTGAGTTAATGATGGATGATGTCTACGTGGCGAAACCTCCATCAAAACCTGGGAGAGCTTCCAGGGTGAGGAGTGTGGGGAAGTGTTGGGGTGGTGCCCCCAGAGAGGCCATGGGTGCTGGGCGCCCCTTACCCACCCTGGGCTTATCTCTCCCTTCTGGCTGCCCATCAGCATTCTTCAGAATATCCCTTATAATAAGCCAACAATGTGCTTCCCCAAGTTCTGTGACTGAGCAGGAGGGAGCCGCAGTGAGCCCACCTGGCTTACAGCTGGGTGTTAGCCCTGGGTGGCAGTTCTAAGTGGGGAGACTGGCAGAAGTGGCCCTGGACCAAGGGTCTGCACTCTGCAGAGTCAGGATGGAGTCCAGTGGCAGAGCCAGCTGGAATCCACTGTGGACGGCTTTGTGAAGAGTGCAGAGAGAGACAGCTCTGCTTTCTCCTGCTGTATACAAAAAGGAAGGGCAGGTAGTTTGAGATAACTCCATATTCATCTTATTTTAACACATTCTTAGCAATACTTTCCTATTATTGAATAAATAATCCTTAAAAATAAGGAATCAATGTTGAATTTGGCTAAATGACTTTTAAGCATTTATGGCAATAATCATATAATTTGTTTTTCTTGGACTTACTATGACAAGTAATACTAACAAGTTACTATATTTTTCTAGAATAAAACATTTTGGTCATTTCCTGTTATTTCAGATATTCTGATAGATTATAAAGAAATTTTATTGTGGAATACTCATTGAAATCTAAAAATATTTATTCTAAGCTAAAATTATTATCTAGTTTTATTTTTTGTGCTTTTAATTTTTTTTCTTTGCTATCAGGGTCATGTATAATGAAATGAACTGGGAAATTTCCCAAATTTCTATGTAATAAAATAATTTAAATAACAAAAGAATGATCTCTTTTTGAGATTTGAAATTACCTGCTCATAAAAATGCTTGGATTTGCCTTATCTTATGAAATTAGTTCATTTCATATTTTAAATTATTTTTTACTACAAGCTATATATGAATATACTTTCCTTATAGAAGTTTAAAAATACAGATAGAGCAAATTCTCTTCTGATTATCTCACGCTTCGTTTCCCATTTCTCAGCAGACACAAACAAGTGTTTTTTTCTTTGTCTCTGAAAGCATACATAAGCACTTCAGAAATATGAGGCATTTTCTCTGCACATTATTTTTAATGAAATTGGATAATTCTGAATGTGTGCTGTGAATCTTGCCTTCTCTTTAATAATAAAGCTTAGAAATCTTTCCTCGTGAGTGTATGTGGCCTTCACTCTATCACTTGCTGCTTCGTGCTTTATTATATGATGGAAATAAGCTTAGTTCACTTATTCTGTGGTGCTGTTTCCTTCAGGGCTATTGGTTCATTTATATTGTCTGGCATTTTCCTGAACAGGATGGAAACACCGGCCTCATCCCGACTTCCCTCTGCGTTCCCTCTCTCCCTCCTTCCTTGCTCGCTCACCTGACAGCCATGGATGGTTGTAGGGGGCCATGCACTTTCTGAGGGACTTCGCAACATCTTTGAGATCAGCCCAGGCCCCGACCTCATGCTGCTCACAGCAGAGACTTGATCAGGTCTAGGTGTGGAGCGTCTACCCAGACCGTGAGCAGGAGGAGATCTAGTCCTGATTCAGGGTGTTTTCTTATGACTCTCCACCTTTGCAAATGTGGTGCCCCTCCGATCAGCTCTGTCTTCATTTCCAGTGTTTTGTAAATCTGTGTCCTCTTCTGTGCTGGACTTGGAGCCTTCCTTTTTACTAATTCACTTATCTTTCTTCATTATCAGGGTTTTTTTTTTTTTTTTGCCATGATTAAAATCCCACAAACAAAATTTCTGAATTCTGCTACTTTAAGTGGGTTTATCTCTTCATTTCTCTCTTTAACTGTGTTGCTTTCTCTTTGCAATTTTATTTTGCTGTTCTTTTTCTCTTTTATCAGTTGCCCTGTACATTTACTTTTTCTTTTTATCTTTTAAAGGGTCCAAGTGTCAGGCTTTGGCACGGATGATGACAGTCCACCGTCAAGGGCAGATGTGTTCATGTGTTACCAAGCCTTCTTCACACTCACCTTCCTCCACTGTGCTTAGGAATTTAAGGAACTCGTGGGCACCATGGTGGGCTTTCTCCATGTTGGTCTCTGGACAAGGAAGTAGAGTGCAGCCCAAGGCAGCAGCAAGGTGACAGCCCGGGGAGGTGGGCTGCTCATCCATCCTGGGATGCAGGCAGGCTGAGCCAAGGTGTCTCAAGTACCTCAGCAAGGGAGGTGCAGGAAAGGGAGTGGAGAGGTCACAGCCCACTCTTGCTCTGCCAAACTGTTTTTGTGGGTTGGGGAGTTTAGAGCAGCTTTCTGGGAGGCTCCCGCTGCAGATCTTCCTGCTTTAGGTTCAGATAGGCATCTGTTGCTAAGTTTCCCATGTACTCTTGGTGTTTTTATGACATTAATAAAAGCATTATTCATCACGTGCTTCCTACATGCAGGGCAATGTGCTGAGGACCGCATCACCTCCTTCAATCCTCAGCAAGCAGCTCTGTATTTTGCCTGTGAAAGTGAGGCTTTGAGGGTGAACTTGGCTGAACTCATGGCGTTGGTGACTGGTGAGCTTGTGCTTGAACTCCAGGGACTGCCATTCCAAAGCCTGCACTGCCCACCATTTAGTTTTAAGAGGGCATAGACATTTTATTTTGTTTTATATTTTACTTTTATTTCTCTCTTTATCCCTTTCTCTGTAGTCTAGGGAGAAATTCTCCAGCTGGTCATCTAATTCGCTGATGAAATTTTTCCTGGGTTCATTTCTGTCCTCTCTCTCCATTGTCCTTTTCAATCTAGCAATCCTGTTTTTCAAATGAAAGCAATATTCCTGATCGCAGATGCACTGTCATCTGAAATTTTCTTTAAAAATCTCAAAATAGGGAATTTAAGATTTTTCTTTGGGTATTGGAATAAGTCGGATTCATCGGAGAACGTTTCTGACTGTGCAGATTATTGCTTTTCTCTTGGTTACTAAATCATTGTGCACGTTGGGAGACTTTCTCTGCTAATTCATCTCTGTGGAGAGCTGCAGACAGTGGCTGCTCATTATTGGATTTGAGATGGGTTCTGTCCTAGATTTTGTGGGTTGTGTTTCAAGTCTTTCAGGATGAGGAAATGGTTGGCTTTGCTCTGACTTTATTTTGCCAAGCCCGGCCAACTGTTAAGGGGAAATCAGGATGCGATGCTAACAGGACAGGCAGGGAGTGGACAGTGGGCAGGCAGGGAGCTTCCTCACTGTTCAGAGGATTCCTGCTGCTTGTGGCTTCTTGTCTTGGATCTGTCTTGCCTCAGCCACCAGCTCTCCCCATATGTCACCGACCGCAGGATGTCTCAAGACGCATCAGCACTCTGTGCCGACCTGGATGCGCTTTCTCCCTTCCTGCTGGCCCACGCCCCTTCCCTGGCAGCCTGCATTCCAGATACTGCCTCTGCCCAGCTTCTGACACAGAAATGCTCCAGGATCCCACGGAGGCCAGATGCATTTCCTTTCAGGGTGGCAGGGTCTGCATGTGGCAGCTTTCTGCAGTCTGCCCCTCAGCCTTCACCCTCCTGCTCTGGACTATGGCTAGGAGACCCTCCCAAAGGTCCCCACAGCCATGATGTTGCCTCTAGGATTTATCCCACAATGTATCTCTCTGGAACAATCCATGGAAACAGGTTAGAGATATTGAGAATATAGAAAGAAAATTCAGAAATGAAACTAAATAGTGAAAGATGCATAAAGGCTTTCGGAACACCACTGGTAGCTCAGGACTTCCAATTCTCCAAAGTGGTAAGATACACACACTGACATTTTAATCAAAAATTGTTTTGACCACAAGACCTTATTGTGGAGTTGTCCTTGGTCAGAGGGCATCCTCCTCCACACCACCTTGGTGACTCATTCTCATTCCCCTCAGCACAGAGCTCACATGCTGCTCCTTCCAGAAGGGTCTCTGGCCTCCCAGGGAGGGGCAGGTGCTCTTGTGTGTGCACAAGCGGCTTGTGATGTGCTCTTAGAGCTCCATGCAGAGTGGCCCTGCTTCACCCTGGTGTCCATAAAGAGTGCAGCAACCCCAGCATGGGCTAAGTGGGTGATGCTAAGCATAACACACCACCCAACTCCCACTGTGGCTTGAAAGTGAGTCACATCGTCACACAGTCATGGTTTGGCTGCAAGAGCAGACACCACCACACATTCTGCTAAATATTTAAAGAAAAAGTGTAGCAATGCACACATACTGTGGGAGCCCAGGGGTGAGTGGATGACTCCCAGGTCATGGTAAGCCTAGCACAGCTCTAAAGTCAAACAGAAGATCATGGAAGTAAAAAAAATATAGCCTGATATGTGAATCAAGGCATTTCAACAATAGAGTAGCATCACACGCTCATGTATGTGTACACACACACACAACTGCGCACACACATCTTACATTCCCTTAAATATATATCTATAAACACGCCCAGATACATACTTAAACACACGACATATATCCACGCCTGCAGGCCCACATCAAACACACCACCTACATACCCATTGATGCAGGCCTACACATACCTGTCATGGCTAAAAGGGGTGTATCCTAGCAGTGCAAAATTGATAATTGCTTGTAAATTACTCAGTGTTATTCACCACATATAAAGAAAATTGGAGAAATTGAATGTATTGTCTCCACTGGTGCAAAGAAAGCATCTGACGAAATCAACTCTGAGGATACAAACTCTCAGCAAATTCAGAATAGAGAGGAACTTGCTCGGCCTGATGGAAAGCACCTGCAGAAAGAACCACAGCTGCCTCACACTTACATTTGTTACGGGAAGCGTGTAAGTTAGGCTCAGGGAGTGAAGGACAGCACAGTGGGGACACAGACCGGGACGAGCAGACTGTTAATACTCACAGATCACAGAGAGGATGTGGCCATCAGGACGTGTGTGCCCAAGCAGAAGGAGGGGGGCCTGTCGGCTGGAGGACTTTGGGTAGGGTGCTACCTAGTGGGTTTCCCAAAACAGGGTTTGATTGATTCGTGTGAGAGAGTGCAGAGCTAAGCACAGGGATTTGAAAGTCACATCGTTGGGTTCACCAGACTAAGCAGAAGAAAGGGGTCCAGCAGCTGAGGGCACAGACATTTGTCTACCTAGGAGAAAGGTGAGAACTGAGTTGAGACCATCTCAGAACATGGTTGTCAAGGGGGATGAGGCAACCCTGATGGGAATAGAGTCGCGAAAACCTAATGGTGAAAGTTAACATTTTCCCAAAGATCAGGAACACAAGAAGGATGTCTGCCCTAGTCTGTCTACTCAACCTAGCCAGGGCAATAAGGCAAGAAAAGTAGGTATGGCATCATAAAGACGAGTGGGATGAAGAGGTAAGGATGAGTAGATGTGAGGATAGACCAGGAATGTGAGGAGATGAAGACCAGGAGGTGAGAAGTGACAAGGAAAAGCACATATTTAGTAATCAAGAAAGGAAAGTAAGTATTCATGAAGATGATACCATCATCTACATAAATAATCCCAAGAAAATTAAAATTAACCAGAAATATCATACACCAATTTCAAAATTTCCGTACTAGTTTGTTCAAAACAATAAAATTTCCAAACATAGAGAGCTGGTGTTTTAATCAGCTTTTTTTGCTGCTATGACTAAACGACCTGAAAAGAACTATTTTAAGGAGGAAAAGTTTATTTGGGGGCTCCCAGTTTCAGAGGTCTCAGTTCATAGATGGACAACTCCATTTCTTGGGACACAAGGTGAGGAAGGACATCATGGCAGGAGGGTGTGGTCGAGGAAAGCACAGAACCCAGCATGCAGAAAGAAGGTAAGCGCACTGGAGGACATGGCCTTCTGACCCGATGCCCGCCAACCGCAGGCCCAGGAGGCCCTACACGCCTGGCTTTGCCCACTCCCGTCATAATGAGGCCAAAGCAAAATTTGTAAGGACAACAACTGAGAATTTTCCAAAATATTGTAGCATGAATTTACAAACTTCAACACGACACATAAATAGATATGCCTTGATACGTTTTTAGGAGACTTGAGAGAGAATCTCCTAAAGGCCCATGAAAAGCAGCCAGCCTCTCAAACAACTGACAAAAAACAAAAGAAAGGGGCTGGAAACTCGGAGGGGAACAGCCACCGCCCAGCATAACTGTCTTCCAGGTGAGGTGGCACAGGCTTTGCACTCGGAAGGATATCTAACGTGATTGCAGCGTAGGAGGCTCCTGGGGCAGGAGGTGCAGGGCGCGGTGGGTACAGTGGCCGAGCTCACTGTGCTATGGGCTGTGGCGGTAGTGGTTGGAACAAGATGGTAGCTCTCAGTGGGACCCTGGGAGGGGGCTGTCCTCACCTCCTGTGGTCCGCGAGGTCCTAGGCCTCTGCCCTTTATTCTGCACCTCCAGGAGGCCCTGCAAGGCAGAGGCCATGGAATGTCCAGATATTAAGCTCAAGTAAATGAGGCAGGGTGTTTCTGGCATAAAGGTTGACCTATGGACAATGCTACAGAATAGGGAGCCCAAAAATGTTTACCCTGTGCTGCGGCTTGATGTACAACCAAGTCATCCTTCAGCGTGGGCCCTGAGAACGGAGGCGGGTTCTGCCTTCAAAAAACGAGCTGTCGTGCCCAATGGGAAGCAGAGGAGACAGGATGGAGTGGCTGATAAACTTGACTCGCTTGACCTCATTAAGGACCTGGGAAATACAGATCGAAATCACATGGGACACCAATGCCCAGGGGCAGGGCTTTAAAAGATGGAACACGCCTGTGTTGGAGCGGACGCCAAGCTGCAGGAACTCTGTTGGAAGTGAGCGCATGCGTGGGTGGGACCTGCGCCTCCATGATCCCACAGCTCCGCCTATAGGTGTGTTCTCAGCGACAGCCCGCGCACACCTGCTCTTGGAAACACAGGTAGGAATGCCCAGCACGTCCTCATTCGCAATAGCTACAGCCTGGAAACGTGGATGTAGAGTGGGTCAGTACACCAAGGAACCACAGCCTGGACTCGACGTGTGTGCATCTCACAGCATAAAGTCCTGTGAGAAGCCAGACACAAAAGCTCACGTGGAGGACAGGTGTGCTCACACGAGTGAAAGATGAACGTGCCCCTGAGCTTCCATGCCCGGTGGTGAGCGCGCTCTTGGTGGCTTGGTGCTGCAGACAAGGCAAGCACCCATGACCTGGAGAGCCAGCATAGATGCACAGTATTAGGGCAGAGGTTGGAGGGTTGATGGAGAGGCCAGCCCTGCCTTTGTGGGTGCTGGACATGGTGCTAACTAGATGCTGGCATAGGCTTGCTTTACCATGATTCTTTGAGTCGAGCTGTGTTAAAGTACATTTTAAAAAGTAATGAAGTAGTTAACAATAAAACACAGGCAGGTGAATAACTGACCAGGACATTTCACAGGGAATTC